AAAACAATTGCAGACCAGCAGTTACAAATCAGTGAGCTGATACAAACAATCGGACACCTGCAAACTAAAGTCAACATACTGAAACATTTCCAATAAGTCAGCGGTAAACGACAGGAAGTGATTACTAGTATTAAAAACCAGCTAAACTTCCTAGTTAAAACTAAAGTAGAATACCATCAAACCAAACCTAACCTAACCTAAACTAACATAAGTAAGTCAGTAACTAAAGTTTTTAATTTAATATAATAATATTAATTCAAACAAACCAATTGGAAACAATTTATTAAAAATAACGAAAATCACTCTGCCTATTAGGCAAATCGGGCCTTGTATACTAGGCCGAGTAGTGCGTTCTGGCTATTAGCTGTGACATTTGTTTATCTACACACGCACACACACATATATATACACTATATATATATATATATATATATATATATATATATATATATATATTATATATATATATATTATTAAATATGACCGAAAAAGTAAGATTAATAATTCTAACACGAATTTTCTCAATCTTTCGTACATTACGCTTCACTGTTGGAGGTAAATAAAAAATCACTTCTCCAAAATTCATTTTTATTTCTAGTCTGACGCGACACGGGCGCGTTTCGTAAAACTTATTACATTTTCAAAGACTTCACAAATACACAACTGATTAGAACTTGCGTTTCTCTGATTTTATATCTACATTTGAGTGAGGTGGGAAGGGTGATGTGGCATTAACACAAGACAGAACAATAGGGGATATTAATAGGGTATTAAAAGTATCAACACAAGACAGAACAGAAACAATGGGTATTGAATAGAAGTGTTTGTAGAAAGCCTATTGGTCCATATTTCTTGATGCTTCTATATTGGAGCGGAGTCTTGAGGTGGGTAGAATATAGTTGTGCAATAATTGGCTGTTGATTGCTGGTGTTGACTTCTTGATGTGTAGTGCCTCGCAAACGTCAAGCCGCCTGCTATCGCTGTATCTATCGATGATTTCTGTGTTGTTTACTAGGATTTCTCTGGCGATGGTTTGGTTATGGGAAGAGATTATATGTTCCTTAATGGAGCCCTGTTGCTTATGCATCGTTAAACGCCTAGAAAGAGATGTTGTTGTCTTGCCTATATACTGGTTTTTTTGGAGCTTACAGTCCCCAAGTGGGCATTTGAAGGCATAGACGACGTTAGTCTCTTTTAAAGCGTTCTGTTTTGTGTCTGGAGAGTTTCTCATGAGTAGGCTGGCCGTTTTTCTGGTTTTATAGTAAATCGTCAGTTGTATCCTCTGATTTTTGTCTGTAGGGATAACGTTTCTATTAACAATATCTTTCAGGACCCTTTCCTCCGTTTTATGAGCTGTGGAAAAGAAGTTCCTGTAAAATAGTCTAATAGGGGGTATAGGTGTTGTGTTAGTTGTCTCTTCGGAGGTTGCATGGCTTTTCACTTTCCTTCTTATGATGTCTTCGATGAAACCATTGGAGAAGCCGTTATTTACTAGGACCTGCCTTACCCTACAGAGTTCTTCGTCGACTTGCTTCCATTCTGAGCTGTGGCTGAGAGCACGGTCGACGTATGCGTTAACAACACTCCTCTTGTACCTGTCAGGGCAGTCGCTGTTGGCATTTAGGCACATTCCTATGTTTGTTTCCTTAGTGTAGACTGCAGTGTGGAAACCTCCGCCCTTTTCCATGACTGTTACATCTAGAAAAGGCAGCTTCCCATCCTTTTCCGTCTCGTAAGTGAAACGCAGCACGGAACTCTGCTCAAATGCCTCCTTCAGCTCCTGCAGATGTCTGACATCAGGTACCTGTGTAAAAATGTCGTCAACATACCTGCAGTATATGGCCGGTTTCAAGTTCATGTCGACTAAGACTTTTTGCTCGATGGTACCCATGTAGAAGTTTGCAAACAGGACACCTAGGGGAGAACCCATGGCGACCCCATCTACTTGCTTATACATGTGCCCATCCGGGCTCAAGAAGGGTGCCTCTTTAGTACAAGCTTGGAGTAGTTTCCTCAGAATACTTTCTGGCATGTCAAGAGGAGTACAGGCTGGATCGCGATACACTCTGTCGGCTATCATTCCGATTGTCTCGTCCACAGGTACGTTGGTAAACAGCGATTCTACGTCCAACGAGGCTCTTATCCCTGTGGCCCGTGCGCCCCGCACGGGCCACAGGGATAAGAGCGACTCAACGGCCTGCTGACTCCTTATGTTCCTTGCGCCTTCAGCCTGAAGTCTCCAAAGGAATTTGTGGACTTACTGCGGGGCGCACGCACGCATATGTCGACCGTGCTCTCAGCCACAGCTCAGAATGGAAGCAAGTCGACGAAGAACTCTGTAGGGTAAGGCAGGTCCTAGTCAATAACGGCTTCTCCAATGGTTTCGTCGAAGACATCATAAGAAGGAAAGTGAAAAGCCATGCAACCTCTGAAGAGACAACTAACACAACACCTATACCCCCTATTAGACTATTTTACAGGAACTTCTTTTCCACAGCTCATAAAATGGAGGAAAGGGTCCTGAAAGATATTGTTAATAGAAACGTTATCCCTACAGACAAAATCAGAGGATACAACTGACGATTTACTATAAAACCAGAAAAACGGCCAGCCTACTCATGAGAAACTCTCCAGACACAAAACAGAACGCTTTAAAAGAGACTAACGTCGTCTATGCCTTCAAATGCCCACTTGGGGACTGTAAGCTCCAAAAACCCAGTATATAGGCAAGACAACAACATCTCTTTCAAGGCGTTTAACGATGCATAAGCAACAGGGCTCCATTAAGGAACATATAATCTCTTCCCACAACCAAACCATCGCCAGAGAAATCCTAGTAAACAACACAGAAATCATCGATAGATACAGCGATAGCAGGCGGCTTGACGTTTGCGAGGCACTACACATCAAGAAGTCAACACCAGCAATCAACAGCCAATTATTGCACAACTATATTCTACCCACCTCAAGACTCCGCTCCAATATAGAAGCATCAAGAAATATGGACCAATAGGCTTTCTACAAACACTTCTATTCAATATCCATTGTTTCGTGTTCTGTCTTGTGTTGATGAAATTAATACCCTATTAATACTCTTGTTCTGTCTTGTGTTGATGAAATTAATACCTTATTAATACCACATTTTGTTCTGTCTTGTGTTAATGCCACATCACCCCTTTTTTAAAAAGTAAAATCTTACTTTTTCGGTCATATTTAATAATATATATATATATATATATATATATATATATATATATATATATATATATATATATATATATATATATATATATATATATATATATATATGTTTCATTGAATATGACCGCATATTCTGTATTTATTATTTTCTGGTTTAGGGCTTCTATCCCTCTAACTATTTCTTAGCATCAGGGCTTAATTGAAATAGGAGTTCTCCAAAACTCATTTTCGTACTTTTAAGGTGAAGAAAAGAAGTGATTTACTATAGAGTGTATTACACTTATTTGTATAATTTGCACGACGTTTCGAACCTCCATGGTTCATTCTCAAGTGAACAGATCTTACAATACTAGTTGATTTTATACCCGCATTAGGTCAGGTGATAATACAATGAAGGTGAAAACATGGGGGGATACATAAGGGATAAACATAGGGGCTGCAGAAGGCTTATTGGCCCATACAAGGCATCTCCTATCTAAACACAAAGATTAATCCAGTGTAATTGGCCTGTTATGTTGGACATTGTCTTCTGTGTTGGCATCGATATGTTCTTGTCTTGTCCTTACTCTCATGGTGGGTAGAGTAAATAGTTCCGTGATTTGGGTGTTCATGGTAGGTCGCTCTATTCTTATGTGAATTGCCTCAAGAATTTGTAATCTTCTTGAATCTTGGGTTTTGTCTATTATGCAAGTATTCTTGTTCAACATTTCTCTTGTTAGAGTAATGTCATGGGCTTGTCTCATGTGATTCCTAGGGGCACCAGATTGAAGATGGCATGTCAAACGCCTCGTCAGCTTGGTCGACGTCATACCTATGTACTTACATTGAAGGTTACATCCTTCGTGGGGGCAAGTGTACATGTATACAACGCTTGACTGCTGTAGAGGGTTCTCCGTCGGCTTCGGGCTGTTTTTGATGAGTTCGGAAGTCGTCTTGGTTTTGTAGAATATTATCAGGTTTATGTTTTGGTTAGGAGTAGTGCTTTTTACTCCTTTACGGATTATTTCTTTCATTATTCTTTCCTCTTTTATATGTTCACTGTGCATGGTTGATTTGTAATATAATTTTATTGGGGGTGTTGTGGTTTCTGTTCTAGGTTCTGAATTATACCAACGGTCCAAGTGTCTTCTTATAGCAGCGTTTATTTCCGCGTTGCTATATCCGTTGTTCACCAATACCTGAGTTACTCTTTCAAACTCTCTACTCACGTTGCTCCATTCAGAGCAGTGGGTAAGCGCTCGACGAATATAAGCATTGAGAACACTGGCTTTGTATCTTTGGGGGCACTCACTTCTACCGTTCAGGCATAATCCTATGTTGGTAGGCTTGGTATATACGTTGTGCTTAAAGAGGTTCCTGTTTTTGTTATTAGTACATCCAAGAATGGCAGACTGTTATTTTCACTATTTTCATGTGTAAATCGGAGTACTGACTCTCTCTCTAGGTGTCTTTTTAGGTCAATTAGTTCATCTGAGTCTTTTACTATTACGAATATGTCATCTACATAACGGCAGTATACAGTTGGTTTTTGTCTGCTACTGAAGACCCTATCTTCGATGGTTCCCATATAAAAATTAGCAAATAAAACTCCTAAGGGGTGCCCATTGCTACTCCGTCTATTTGTAAATACATGTCTCCTTGTGGACTGATGAAAGGGGCTTCCTTTGTACATGCTTCGAGAAGACTTTTCAAGTGTGGCTCAGGTATGTCTAATTTGGGGGTGCTCTCGTCTCTGTATACTCTGTCCAGTATCATTCCTATGGTTGTGTCGACTGGGACGTTGGTAAAAAGGGATTCAGGTTAGTTATACAGTTTATTTTCACTCATGAGGCTAAATAATCAAATTCTAATGATTTTATAAAATTATATACTCAAACACTGTTTGAATTGAGTGTGTGTGTATTTTTCAGCATAAACAAACAAGTGACACCAAGAGCAGGTCTACTTCAGAGGGTTCAGGCCCAGCTGACAAATGAAGGGATAGGCAGTAGTGCACTGACTATCCATGAGACGCATCCTCACCGACTTCTCGATCACTTGAGATATAATGCCACAATTATAAGCGGTACTGCCCCTTGGCATGGTGATGTTCCAGTATGGTGATTCCGGGTGTAAAGGTCTTCCATCCACCCACGTCCAGTATCCCTCGTGGCCCTGGTCAGTGCTTCCCACCCACAGGCTGCTTATCTCTGCGGAAGAGGCAAGACTGCTCAGTTGGTTTAGATTCAGCTACTCGGAACAATATGTTGCAAGCAGCACGGGGTATGGTGAGCCCATCGTTCTCACCTGGCACAGCAGATATGCCTGGCTGGTGATGAAGATTAATCCACACAAGAGGTGGCACGGGCATGAATAGCCCGTAAGTGGCTGATCAGTGACGCAGTTATGTTATAATTGGGGAGAATGAGTGAGAATGGATGGGCGAGAGAGGAAAATTGAATAAGTGAAAGGAATGGGTGAGTAGGATGGATGTGCTCACCTAGTTGTTCTTGCGGAGGGGGGGGGTGAGCTCTGGCTCTTTGGTATGAGAGTGTGTGTATGTGTGCTCAAAGGTAAATTAAGTACCCTTGAACACATACACAATATACAAACTGAAAACATCATCACACAAACCATATATACACTGACGTGGTCACTCAATACAGCGACAGGGAGGGCAGGAAATGCTGTTATTGCTCATCAGCCCGATGGAAGCACAATTGAAAAGAATATAAGAGTTAGTAACTGGGTAAGTTGAACTTACCTTTGCAAGTTAAACTGGTAGCACTTAAAATTATTGACAGCACTGAAATTAATTGACAACTTTATTATTTCTGACACCTTTTCCTCGCTACTAGTTTATATATAATAGCTTACAATCAAATAACCTGCTTGTTTCCGAAGCCAGACAGATATATGAGCATACTTAATAAAGAGATGAATTTCAAAATGTTGTGGATACCTTTTCACATTGGCCTGCAGGAACATGATAAAGCTGACGCCCTTGCTAAGGTTTCAGTAAATAAAGATAATGTTGAACGGAATCTTGAGTAATCAATTAGGTCCCTTGTGTTGGAAATATCCAACACTTATTCATCATTCATGTAATAACAGTAGTAATTTATTAATATTTTTAACTTCTTAAATTAACCAAATCAATGTTTTTCCTACTGCGCAATATTTCGCCAAAAGTTTCCTACTACGTGGTGTTGCATCAGCCAGCCACTGGGAAATATTTCCATATATTGTTGGATCCAACAGAGTCCAGTTATTTACTTTTCTTTACTAAGGATAATGCTTATTAATGAGTTTACTCATTTAACATATTACTGCTTACTGGAACTCACTTATTTAGTTTGATTAACTACACCAGTAGAAATGTTGCAATGTAAAATAATTCTACTTCATATTCTTCTTTTTTATTTTGCGAAGTCTTAATTAACTGACTTGCACTACGAGAAAATATGTTATAATATAACACATTTATTTATGATGTAAATCTTCGTCATAACCTCTTCCTTCCCTAATTAACTTCAAATAAGTAAATTAATTTATGCTCAGGGGCTCCTACTGAGAGCTACGCGCATGCGAACCCCCGAGAGGGAGGGAGGAGGAAGAAAGACGCCATATTACCTTGAGAGATAAAGCAGTGTCCCGGAACTCTATAAACTCCATCTCGTAATTTGCGTCCTTCTAGCCGCAGAGGAGGACGGAGAAGTGGAGCCGTTTCCTAAATCAACGGACACTCGGCTAGGCAACTATTATTTTCTTATTTTGTTTAGATTCGTGATCACAGTGTAAACATACAGGATAGTTGTCGTCATGCCGTAGGCCCAACAAAAATCAACCAGTACGTTTCTCCTCTAGCTATTTCCTTGAATTTATTTAGGAATATATATTTACCAATTCTTATGTAGAAGAATTCTACAGTGCAAGTGCCTTTCAGCTCCCGTGTCTACGTCGAGGAGAAGATAGACTGCACATTTTGCATGTGTCCAAAATTTCCTGATTTGCAACAAGTTGTCAGGGACGCGTGGCAACTGATTACTCGTCTCTTACTTCTTACAGCTAGGCTGTTATCTCTTGTTAATAAGTAGAATACTAATATTTAGTTACATGAATGATCTTCCATTAAGATCACATTGACTAACCCTTTATATTTGCCATAATTTATTTATAGATATTTTCATGTATCTCTATGGTGTATTGAAGTGAATTTACATCTAAATATTTCATTATTGAATAATACAATTTCATATTCCTAATTTATTATGATGAAGAACCAGCATCGTATTATTCGTGCTAGGACGTAGTCGTATCTTAGCGCCCGTACCCCCCATTTTGCGAGAGTGAATTTGACTCTTAATTTATTTACAGTATACAGTTTGCTTAATTTTCTTGTGTTACATTTTCAAATATTAAAATCCGTAGTCACTAGTTCGTGGATTTAATCTCAATAATAGCTCATTTCAGTTTTCCACTTTTTCACAAAAAGTGGTGGTCCTTCATAGCTATCGAATATATCATTATTTTAATTAATATATTTGAGTCAGATTTTCCCACACCTTGAAAGTGTCATTAGATGAGAACTCCTGGATGAATTTGAAGAAAGGAGAACAGTGCAAACTGGAACTAGCAGGTCCATTGTTCATCACAATGAAATGTGTGAAGTAAAAAATGTGTTTTAGGAAAAGTAACTAAATCCGCAGAGTAACAGACGTTGTCACAGCTCGAATAAGACTTTGCTACAGGTATCTCTGACAGTTCGACTTGTATCGGGATATAAATGAAGTGCAAAGTGTGTGGACAAAGACAGGGACACATACTCGAACATTATATCTTGAACTGTAATAAAATTGAGCCATTTAGAGATACCTCTCAACTCCCGCTGCATGAAATGGCAAACCCTATTATTACCAATGATAAAATATCTGAAATCCTTGCACTGTATCTATGTTCTGCTTTCTGTATATAAACGACATTAAGATTATCTTCTTAATCTTATTGTCGACATTTTATCCAGTAGATAAACGACTTGAGATTTAAAAGCAAGTAGTGAATTGTGAAGACTAATAATAACACACAGCAGCTTTACTATGACTCAGTAATATCTATATTTCCATAGCTGCAACAGTTATGTATTAGCGAAAAGACCTACCCATAATGTATAATGATTACCTGCAAATACATAGGAACTGAAGTGGAATAATCATTGTTACTGGCTGACATTATAATTATAAGGTGTGGAGGAGAGATGTAATTGTTAATGTAATAATGTCCTTTGAGGGCTGATAAAGATATTGTGCCCTCTGTAATCATTTTTACGATACCGCTCACAGGTTGAGTATGGGGTGTAACGGTAACAAAATTAGAGCTGGAAACCCTTCATCTTTACCCTAAATACTTAATAATTCCTGTTGTCGGGGGACAGGAAGCCTTCGCTTAGGTATGTCTCAAAGTCTCCGCATGGTCGAACTACTGACCCTCCTCAGGATGCAACCCACGACAGCTGGCTATATATATATATATATATATATATATATATATATATATATATATATATATATATATATATATATATATATATATATATATATATATAGATATGGAAGAAAGTACTGGTTTGGAAATTTGAAACTGTATTTATGCAACACATTATCAGTTAACACAATTGCCACAAGGAGGCCAGCAAGCTTTGGGACAACCTGCAAATAGAGGAACCAGGAATTAGAGAACATTATACATGGCCTTAGTGAGAGCAGCGGTATAATGGAGCTGTAGCATGACACAAGGACTTGGTCACCACACTTAATGATCCATTAGTAAAAGCATGGAGCGCAACTACCATTCTGGGCTTGGTGGCCTCCTTGCTAACAAATACCATCAGCGGAACAAATGATCGTGTCTTCATTGTTGATTGGAAGATCTTGAATCAGTTTATGCATCAGAACGTTGAACAACAAACGGCTGAGGACGCTTGGTAAAGTTCCCAGTTCAAAGTGTTAACTCTTTGTGTTTTTAACAGGGTTAAATGAAACATGTTGTTGATTATACAATCGCCCATTACCCATATCAAGGTATTTTGCAAAATCACCAGAACTGACTGCATGAAGCAAAAGACAATTGAAGACTCCTGGATGAAAGCCCAACAGGAGAGAGAAGGTGCAAGCCATGAGGGGTAAGAGGGAATATGTGTAGGAGTGGACCACAGGACGGCTGGCGACCAGAGGCGCTCATCACCACAGAAGGTATATGGAAAGTGTTCCTCCAGCGTGGGAGTGGCAGGCAAATGGAATATGATGGAGAATGACATCGAAGCACACATATATAAGCTAAGATATAATAAAACAGTAGAGAATTGTAGGCATTGCGTCAGAAAGCTGAAAGTCGCGGCCGAATAGCTGGAGCTCACTATACAATCATTGGTCAATACAACAACAAATTTAAGAGTACCGTTGTTGATTGCGAAGGTGGATATGAAGGTGGCGTCGCCCGCGTGGGAGTCGAAGACGGCCAGGTCGACATTATCCCCCGGGAGGAACTGACAGATCTCCCGAGCCTTGTCGTACGTCTCCTTCATGGCGAAGTAGCAGTAACAGCCGGTACCCAGCGGCATGAAGCCCTCGGGGCACGTCGTCCTCACCGCCGTCGTAGCATTATCACCTGGAAAAGAATGTTCGTTAGCATTCCCCAGCCTACCCTGCTGATACGTCAGTACGTTGTGTAACTGTGTGGACCTTCCTGCATGTATCCACGTGATGGACACATATAAAGTAGAACTTATGTAGGGCAAACTTATGTAAAGTATTCATTATGTAGGGCACGGAAAAACATATGCTAAAAATCAAACTCAAATATTCCTGTTAGGCTGTATTAGGTACTATATTAGGCCTCATATAGCGTGTATTAGGCCTAGGATTGTTAGGTTAGGATTCATTAGCAACATAAATAAAAACTTTTCCGGTTTGTCCAAATTCAGTAATACAAAAGTGAACTTTCTATTAGTCCATCACGTCCATATAAGAACAGTCGAGCACATCTTTGCTGTAAGTACTTTCTTTTTAGCAACCTGGGCTCCAGTTTTATGTTCAATATTATTGGTCTTTATTTGTCATTGTGTTTGTAATTGAATGTAATCTTTCGAGACGTATTTGTATGTGATGAGTAGAGAGCAAATGTGAGGTAGGTGTGGGGTTTTCTATTTTGCTTTCCCGACTGCAATGCGTACGTCGCCAATGTATATGTGGCAGACGCTTCATGAAGCTGTCGGAATCAGCAGAGAAAATACGAGAGCAGCCGTACAGAGCCTGGGAGCAAGGTGGAGTTGGAGTCCTTGAGGGTCTCTTCTCAGACTAGTCTCACCTGGTCCTGCTCCACGTTGATCGTTGGAATCTCCTCAATGATTTAACACTTTAAGGGACTCCTAGGGTCCTCATCACATTTATAGTTTAGTGAATAATAGGCAACTCGGTGTTGAAGACACCTGGAGCTGAAGGCTTGAGTAATGTTGGCAGTATTCAGAAGTGGTTCAACGGAAACACCGCATAAAGCTTAATAGTAGTTTATTATTAACTTAACCACTAATACAATGGGTGCTTGATTTACTTTAGATTGGTGTCAGAAAGGCTATGGTTGCATTAGCGAGACTCTTGACGTCTGGCTAATCGATTCGTATCCACTCGTGGAGTAACACCTAACTTAACACAGTTGACAGCCAATCATTAACACGGCAACCTAACTGCCGGTGTGCAAAGGGATCACAAGAGTTCCAACCGGATAATCGGGTAATGATGATGCGCAATAAATCACAATGGGACAGGCAATAACATGCACAATAGTAATATCACACAATAACTAAATGTGTGGTGTATGTGAAGCTCACATTCACATACGAGTGTAATGTCGTGATACCACACAGATAAACACGCATACAACGTAGAGTGTGTAGGTCTCCACCTATGTCGGAAAACCCGACATCATTTACTAATATTACATTCAACAGGTAAATAATAATGCTGCCGTTGTATACACAAGTTAACCCATAGAAAATGTAGCTTGTAGTGGAATTGTCCGTCAATAGAAAACGGGATATCATTGCCACATAGTACTATAAATTCACCAGCTATTCTGTTGGGAATTATTCTTAAATAATTTATGATGTAATAAGTCTTTAGACTTATTACATCATAAAAAATCTCATTTGAATTAACTTAATTATCAGTATCAAAATAGAGTAAATGCTATCACTTATTGACATTGGACAAGGAGAGCCAAGGCGTCAGTGGTGAAGAGGTCAGCCATTGTTTGTTAAGACCAGAGGCGCTGGGGAGCAAATTCAACTTCTATAATTCTCTTGGACGAAGTGTTATGGAGATCAAATTAGTGATCTACCATCATCAACATGCTGTCAACATTTACAAGGGAAGTGGCTTACCGAAACCCATTTATCTAATCATTTCTGGCCAGTTAATGTTAGGTAGATATAGGGCGAACTGGTTAGCATGAGAAAGAGCCTCTCTAAATACAGGTAATTAAGCCTTGGTCCTTATCTTATATAATATACAGTGTTTTCTCTGATAAAGCTGTCATATATTAGGATTCCGGCTTTACAGCTAGTGCCCTTTGACAGGAACAAGAAGAGGAAGCAAGAATTAATCTTGGTACATCAGTTACTTGGGTGATGGAAGCTAGCCTCTCACGAGGATAATTTGGTGTCTACATCCTAGTTATACCTGGGGGACTAAGCCTACTATACAATAAGATAAGACACCTCCTCAATTTATATACTAATATATGTAGTTTAATACTGTAGTTTGATTGGCTGCATATATATATATACATTTAATATAAACCCCCCTAATGTGTAAGCATCGATTTGTGAGAAATATTGCAGAAATACAGTCCACTTAACATCATACCAATTGCTATCGAAATATATAAATTAACGTAATTATAAATTCTATATAAATTCATATAAATCAAATAAATATAAATCACACAGGTCGGTTCCCACAACCTATACCTGTCAGGTATACGAATGTGAGAACTGTGGTCGATCCTTCAGATCAACACGGACAGACACAATAAAACAATAACAAGATCTTGTACTTACAGGTAGGCTACCTCTCTTATTCACTCACTCACTCAGGCACATATATGCAAGAACTCGTAGGTGGCCTGACAGCTGGTTTCGCTCGGCGACAGGCTTTCCCACTAACCGTACTTGACACGGTGGGTATTCGCAGGAGGGCGCGCTGTATGTCTAACAGACACATGCACACACTTGATGGCACTGGCGGTGAGTAAGGGTGATGACATGAAGTAGTACAGTGAGGCAGGGCGGCTGGCGGCTTGAGGCTGCTACACGCTCTGGACAGTGGCGGCTGGCGACTTGAGGCTGCTACACGCTCTGGACAGTGGTGGTTGCAGGTTATATGGTACCCTGCAGTACACTGTGGTAAAGTCACACACAGGTTACTTAGGCAGCAGCACTCCTTAGTTCACTCTAGGTCACTCACAACGATCTCAATTTGTCACCAGGGCTTACCTGATAACAGTCTGTTTCGCTCTGGTGATATGTCACTAGGCATCTAAACAATATAGTCACGATCGCGATTCCGGGCGAGCGTTGGTATATCGAAAAGACGCTGAGTTTAACTTGGCGGTGAGGAATGGACGGTGTTGAGCCTATTGGCCGATAGACGGAACAGGACACGTTTACTAGCTACTAACTTCCTCACATGAATTCCCTTGCCAGCGGCTGCAGGGCTCCTCGGGGGCACATACACAAGGGATTACAATTGACCAATGGCATTTCAGCAAAAGAGCGGGAACCAATCATATTGATCGTTCCATGATCATTAGCAGAGGTGACGTTATGAACATGTCACGACCACGTCACAGTGGTTATTCTCCATTGTGCCGGTTGAGGCTGACCTCAGGGTCAGATCTGTCGCCTCGCTGGCGTCCTCTCTCTCTCACGATGGTACATCCACTGTGTACCCAATGACTCTATGGCATGGATGCTTAACTTCCCTGTATCTACTTCCTGCCTGGACATACGGCGGCCTCCGTATTTTAAACGTATTCCTGGTTAAGTGGGCATCCTGGGGACACCCAACATGACAGTTTACTATCCAGGGTTAACAGAGATAGGGCTTGTGCACGAGTTCGGTGCACTGTGCACTGCAATGAGCCATTCTAGTCAGCTGTGGGATAAACTTGAGAGACCATCCTCTCACAATAGGAGAGAGAGAGAGAGGAAGGTAGGTAGATCGTACACACTAGCTGTGAGGGTGTTTTCTTCCGTGTGAGGAGGAGACACGACTATCAGTCTCGCTTATCTGATCACTTGTTCTGTGATCAATACAGGATGTTCTCTGATCAATACTAGTTGCTTTCTGTTCAATACTGGTTGTTCTCTGATCAATATTGGTTGTTCTCTGATCAATACTGGTTGTTCTCTGATCAATACTGGTTGTTCTGTGGTCAATACTGGTTGTTCTCTGATCAATACTGGTTCTGTGATCAATACTGGTTGTTATCTGATCAATACTGGTTGTTCTCTGACCAATACTGGTTGTTCTGTGATCAATACTGGCTGTTCTGTGATCAATACTGGTTGTTCTCTGATCAATACTGGTTGTTCTGAGGGTGAGGGTGTGGAGGGTAGGGTGTGGAGGGTAGGGTGTAGTGTGTGAGGGTGTGGAGCGTATGGTGTGGTGTGTGAGGGTGTGGAGAGTAGGGTGTGGTGTGTGAGGGTGTGGAGGGTAGGGTGTAGTGTGTGAGGGTGTGGAGCGTATGGTGTGGTGTGTGAGGGTGTGGAGAGTAGGGTGTGGTGTGTGAGGGTGTGGAGGGTATGAGGGTGTGGTGTGTGAGGGTGTGGAGGGTAGGGTGTGGTGTGTGAGGGTGTGGAGGGTAGGGTGTGGTGTGTGAGGGTGTGGAGCGTATGGTGTGGTGTGTGAGGGTGTGAAGGATAGGGTGTCTTGTTTGAAGTTCAGACTTTGGTTAGAATTTTAACTTAAATAATAAGAAATCCTTTTGCATGCAGGTTAAGTACCTTCATTACTTCAGTAATACAACTACTGTAGCAGTATAGTGTCCCGAGACCACACACAACACTGGAGACACCTCATAGAACAAGCAGAACAACACAGAAAACTGACACCTCAAGAATTCTGGAAACAAGTCAAACGCTTACAAGGATCAACTCACACACCGTTTATATACCTCCTACACAACAACAACAAAATCACTGATCCTGATGAAGTACTCAATATTTTTAAACACCACTGGGAACAAATTTTTCACCCACATCCTCCTGAACCATCTGCCCTCCCCAACACTGCAGTAGTCAAAGAACGAATACGCCAAAACAATCATGAAACTACACCAGACGACCTCATCCACCTTGACATCCTCAATTCACGCACTGAACTACTGACTCCCCTGACTCCAGCTGATGTCAAAACAGCTCTCATGTTCACTCGGCGCAGAGCCCCTGGTGCGTCTGGCATTGGACATATCCTTCTTAGACAACTCCCTGTTTCTATCATTGCTGCTATCACTAACTTATTCAACGCCTTTCTTACCTCTGGATATTTCTCTCTCACCTTCAAATCTGCCACTGCTGTTCTATTTAAAAACCTGGGAAACTTCACACT